GTTCGTTGGATTGCTGCGGGCATGGTACATCCATTGTGCCCTGCAGAGCAAAGTTTAATGAAGGGCTGGAGAAGGAGTTTATTTGTCGACCGGGTAGTTGCTACCAGTACCAGGTATGCTATTTACATCCATTTACTATGAGTATGCACCACGAGTTGCTGGAACTCCTGGTGCTCCGACTCTGTTTGCAGCCAGCCGATTTTAAAGTGGAATTTTCCCGAAAGCGTTGCCAAGAGTTTTTCAGCATGATCACCGTCATGAGGATCGTGATCAGGGTCATGTTGTTGTTGTTGTTGCTGATGATGATGATGATATCCTGAACTGAAGCTTTCGTGGTTGAAAACACAATGCTTTTGGGACATCGCTTTGGATGTGTTTGGAGGACGCGCTCGGCTGCTTATGAATCGAGCCGCGTTCCATGCGCACATGCGGCGCTGAGGACGCAAAAGCAGCAATGCGAGTCGAGCGTTTGGCCCATTTTGGCCGAACAGAGCTTTCTGACCCGTTCACAAGCGACGAGCCGCAATGCTGCAGCCTTTGAGTCTGACTGTATTTGGAGGCCTCGGCGATGTAACGGCGACTTGCGTGTGACGTATCCAAGTTATCCAAGCAGTTGGCCGAACTGGCACTCTGACATGAAAGAACTCAGGCAGGAGTCAGGAACCTTCAACTACCGGCCCTGGGTCATGCCAGGCCAGGTAACATAATCCAAAGTTCTGAGAGACATTGCGCCGACCCAGAGCTGCCGGTCATGGACTCTGCGTGCAGACGGCTGGTTCGCCTGCTGGCTCTGTCTCTGCTTGGAGCCACAGGGCAGCACTTTTGCAGAAGCTCTTGTAGCAAGTGCCGAGATGACACTTCCCGCGATAAGCAGAGGTCGCTCCCTTTGCTTTCACAGCTCCCGCGCCAGCGAGGCGAGGTGGTTCCGCAAAGCACGTGCAAATCTTCGCAAGGATCAAGCCTCCGGTTCAGCTCCTTTGGGGTTCAGCGTGCCGGCTTGTCAATTGGAAGTTACCCTGTCGTTCAAGATCTGCTGCGTCTTTTATTCACATCTAAACCTTCTCATCTGATGCATTCTGCTCCATCTGCTGCCTCCTCTTTTCTCAAGTCTTGGTGTCTAGGCGTGGCCGTATGGTGGCCGTGACGAGTCGCGCGGCCGATGGAGGTCGAGACTACACCGAGGACCTGAATCAGCCGCTGTGCTCAAAAAACCGCTGGCAAGAGAGAGAAACCACGATGGGCACACGATGGGCACTCTAGTCGGTTTCGAAGCATGCTCTGAGGATCGCAGGGAGGTTCGACGTGCCTGGGTAAGTGTGCATGGCAACGGTTTGGGCGGATCTTGATCAAGCTGAAACTGCCTTCGATCAACGATGAACAATGATGAACAAGTGCATTGCTGAGTGCATGGTACGTCTGCAACCATGTATCAGGCCTGAAAGATGAAGACCTGACCTGCGATTGTATGTTCTGGTTTTGGGACGAAGGTCTGTTGTCGCAGGTCTCCCTGACCGTGGCTTGTGACCTGATCCCAACCTAACCTGCGCCAGGTCAAGTCTAGGTACATGTCAAGGTGCATGCGCACTGTGCAGCGAGAGGGGCCCTGCCAGAAGAAGGAGTTCTAGATTCAGCTACCTTGGCCCACCAAGCCTGAGGCGAACCTTGGTGCTTGGCGTGATCTTCTTGGTGGCCAACATCTACGCATTCTCTCCGATGGTTCCTCCGGAGGCCATACTCTGAGACACTGCAAGAGGTCTCCTCTCCCGGCATGCAATGAGCCCACATAGATTTCCCGTGTCTATGGAGGCACGCAGACTGAAGGTGTGCGTTTACGATAAGGAGTGCCCCTGCTCTTCGCTGAGCTCTTGGCCTCACCCCATTGCTCATAGAAATCTCAGGTACGAGCGGGAGTTCCTTTCGGACCCAAGCAGGCCACCGCCGTTCAGTAGCATTTGGCGGATGCGATGCATCCGTCCGTGATCGGAGACGCAGCCCTTCGACGCTCCGTACGCGACTTTCACACTCCTCCCAGACTCCCCTTGAAGGGCTTTCGCGACTCAAAGTACTCTGATAGTCAAGGGCGGGCCAAGACTCACGGCAAGTTGTGCAGGAACACCCAGGGCCTCGCAGCGCTGCAGGATGCCGGCTTTTGTCCTGGAAGGATCAGATAGGACCATAGGAGCTTCAGAGAGTCTCATTGCAGTTTGCTAGCTTCAAGTCCAAGCGTCGACGCAGGAAGTCGCAGAGGGACGCTGCATCTTGAGGAACATGTTCACCGGCTTCAGCCTGCAAGGACGAAGATTGCCTGCCTCTCGGACAAGTCTTGCAGAAGTGGCTGCCGCAGCCCCGAAGCTGAGAGGCAGTGAAGCCACTTTTGCTCATTGCTCTTTTTCTGTGATGTTACGTTGTGTGTTTGCTAGTTGTTCTGGGCACGGCTGTTTGTGGGAAATGGAAGGCGAAACGATGGATCGTTGCCCCTGGGCCCCTGAGCAATTCAGTTGGGTTTTCAGCGGAGAATTCCCTGCCCAACAGAGATTCAAGAGGCGCCGTTCCTCTGCGCTTCCGTTCCCATCTGTGCAAGAGAAGCATGCCACTTCTTCTGCAGGTAGAAGTCTGCTAGTGCAGGCGATGATGTAAGAATGTACATAGCCCCACTACAAAGTTTGGCGGCGGCTTGCGCAAAGGTTTAGCATTGCTACGCATTGATCACATGCCCGGAGAATCAACATGTTTCGCCATCATGTCTGCTTTGCTAGTTCCAGTGTTGCTAAGGGCAGGAGCGCATAGGCCATGGCATTGAACAGCACTTGTAGCATAAAGAGATTCTCGCCGCAGCCACCGCGGGAACACTCCAGCCATGCCTCAGCCCTCAATTCGAGCGCTCATGTCGCTGCATGTGCTGCTGTTGTCTGCAGGCCAGAGCTGAGTCGCGAAAGGACTGTAGGAAGCCGGCGGACCTGGGATGAGTACTTCAAAAGTTCGGACAGGCGCATATTTACGAGAGTTGAGGCACAGGGGAAGCAGTAAAGAGATGCATGACCACTTGCTCGGCTGGGTCAGTCGCGTAGCACGCGAAGGCACTGGCACTTGGCAGATTGAAAGGGAGGACCGGCGGAAGAGAGAGCCTGGACCACGCTTTATCTTCCGTTTTTCCAAAGCCCGAGCGATGCGGGAGCGCTTTGCAGCGTTGAGAGACTCTTTCCGTGTCCTGCCGGCTTGAGAAGACGCAGAAGAAGATTGCAAAGCAGTGAGGTGCAAAGTGGCCAATGCATGGGCATGCACACTCGTACCTCGGTGGGAGGCCTGGGCGCTGCTGCGGCGGTGAACTGCACCGAGTGCTGGGATGGTGGCTTTGCCCTGAGCGAATCCTGCTGCAAGGCGGGCTGCTGCCGCTTGCTGAGGTGACATCTTGAAGCAAACGTTGATTTGTAGAGGCTACTTTCGATTCATAGGAACTGTAGCTCCAGCCTCAAGCCGGACCGGCACCTCTTTGGTCAGGCGTGCCCAGCTCAGTGCCCTTCAGGCCTCACGAGCTGCAGTTGACACTGTCCTGTGCAAGACAGCACGCGCAAGCCGATTAGTTTGGCCCGGAGCATCGAAGACTTGCAGCACCCTTGGGCTATGATGCTAGCGTGGCAGGCAACTGCACCTGGATGCATTCGCAGGGCTACAAGTGTTTTGATCCGACGAAGGCAGCAGCTTGTGCTCAGCACGGGGAAGCCGGTATTGAGACGTGTGAGTTTTGATACAGCATGTCTTCTGTCTCCGGTCGTGACTGGTCGGTTGTCTGCGAAGGAAATGTTTCAGATAGTGGTACAGTGCTAAATACATACAGTAGCCATGCCTAGACTACTACGCTTTGAAATTATTCGAAGGAGGTGGCTTGCTACACTGGCACGGACCACCGAATCTGCGAGAAGTCGCAGGCCTGTTCCTTTGTTGGCTGCCTCCGCAACTAGTTTGCTTGCGCACCATATCCGAATACATCATTTTCAGGGTCGGATTCGGAAGCACTGGCAACATCTGACAGTCCAACGTGGCACTTCTTCTGGGATTCAGCAACTCTAGCTTAAGCCAAAGAACAAGCCACCCTCCACCCATCCTCACGCAGCTACCCTGCATCGCGGGAAAGCGCCTGGGATTCAAGAAAACGGAGCTGATTTAGTTTAGCAGCGTAGCACTGCTTGAATGCAAGTTGGGTGTGGTCGGAAGAAAGCAGCTTGCGGGATCCAGAAAGCACCGCTAGCCGAAGATGTGCAGGCAACGAGCTGGAGCAGTTGCTGCATCCTTCAACACACTCAACCGTACTTGTAGCGGGTCGTGTTTGTGGATGGGCAAGACAATGTCTTGGTAGTTCAGTTGCTCCGCAAGTCTCGCGGCGCTTGGTATCCCGCCTGGCTAATATACCATCAAGAATAAGATTCATCCAACGCCGCAGGTCTGCCCCTCATGCGGATCGTGCAGTGGTGCCCGAGTGCGCCGCACGGAGTGCGGTACCTGTCCTCCAGGCGCTACCTTGGCAGCGTGGTTCCTTCAAGCGATAGCTCGGCTAGAGAACGACACTGTGTCCAAAATCTCTGGTACGCCGGCCATTGTGCTGAATATAACGGGCTTCTTTTCAGGCCAGCGGCCGGACGAGTCCCACTGCAACTGCGTATCCGAGCAGCTAGCGACCAATCACATCGTGGATGTGGGCTGCCTGGCAGCACGGACATGTGCTGTACCAGGGGGCCTGCCGACGCATTTGAGAGAACGGCCGCAGTGTACTTGCGAAGGCAACCATGCCTGCCCGACCAGCATGGCTCCGCTCAACTCTAGCAAGGCGTGATGCCTGCGCTTCGCAACAAGTCGCATTCATGGCCGGAGGCGTTGTGGTGCCCTGTTGGGCCTCCAGTCCAACCCGACCTGGACCCCACTGGCTCTGTTTCTCCCAGTGTGGTTTTTGCCAGGAGTGCGCGGCTGCGGCCGAGGCAGGCTCGTGAGCCTATAGCTTTCCCTGCACGCGTTCTAGATTCTACCGGGCATGACCGGGATCTTCGGGTTGTCTTGGTGGCCATGTCTTGTTGTTGCGTGTCTCTTAGCTCTTTGTCTCTGTTTCTGTGTGGTGTGTCATTGTGTAGTAACAACAATTGCGTGTAGGAGCAAGCATTAGTGAGCGGCCGCTGTAGCTGTCTCGGCTCCCTCGCCTTTTCCTCTTCCCGCCCTCGCCCTCCTTTTGGTATATTTTAGGCATTAAGTATCTTACGACTCAACAACCAAGCGGCCAGCATTCACCCAACCGGAGCGTCTACAACAGACACTGGAATTGTCTCTCTCTCTCTCTCTCTCTCTCTCTCTCTCTCTTTCTCTCTCTCTTTCTCTTGCTCTTTCTCTTAGCTTAGCGCTTGAATTTCTTTCTCTCTCTCTCTCTTTTTCCTTTCCCTTTGTCTTTCTCTTGCTCTTGCTCTTTCTCTCTGTCTTTCTCGTTCTCTTTGTCTTTCTCTTTTTCTTTCTCTTTCTCTCTCTCTCTCTCTCTCTCTCTCGCTCTCTTTCTCTCTCGGCATCTTTGTTCGGCGCAGGCCAGCGCACGGTCTGCCCCGGGATTTTACGCCCCAAAATGTTCCAACTGTGATCGCGACCTTTTCAGCATTCGTTCGGCTGACGACAGTAGCTGCAGTGTACGCCCTCTACCGTTTCAACCTCGAGACGCGAGCAGACCCAAATCACCGTCATCGTCAGCATCAGCACACAGGCCGACAGTGGCTACCACGGGCCGCTCTCCGCCACGTATCGTTCACCATTCTCTCTTTCCTGGTGACACGACACACGCTGCAGCTTGACATAGCAGAAGCATCTGTCATGTCATGCAACTCGTTCAACGCAGGTGGTTTGGCCCGGCCGCGGCTGCTATGGGCTCGGCTGGAAGGCCTGCTCGCCGCTTTGCGATGGAGGTTAGCAGGATCCAACCACTGTGTCCTCGGTTCATGAGTCGGAAGGGGATGAGGGGCGGCAGTAGTAGCTTCACCGACATCGATTTTTGGATTCCTTGGTTTGCACACTCAAAATTTTGCAGGAGGCAGTTCACCGAAAGGCCGCGATCGGCGACACTGCCCGCAGCCATAAAACACACAAGCATGGCATGTTGCCCTGTGGCAGGAGATTGTACAGACGCCGGCGGATGGCCGTCAGTATCCGCAGGGATGCATGTTCGAGGACGAGGGGATGCAGTCCTTGTATAGCCGTCCTAGGCAGGCAAGTTTCATGTCATCCGACATTCGAAATCAGGCAGTGTGCCAACACGTGAACAGCATCTGCTACTTAGTAGGAGAAGGATTTGGGCTTAAACCTAGTCCGGCTAAAGTGAAAGAAAGAAGCTTCGACCATTTGCAGCTGGCCTCCCTTTTTACACCGTGCGGCCTGATCGGTAGATGCGATGCTTCATCTTGTGCCGTACTCTTGCAGCTCGATGGATTCTCTATGATTCTATAGCTCTATAGCCTCTGAGTAGAGCATATGCGCGGGTATTTCGGCTTCCTCTTCCAACTAAAGACTTCCTTCCAACTCGAATCCCCATTTGCTGCTGGATGTCTAGGAAGCTGCTGGCGGAGGCTGCGCGCTTCTTTTCAACCCCGGTGGCCAGGTGGCTCAATTGGAGCTCTCATCGCACGACACAACTCACTGCAATTGCATACAGTGATCTAAGAGAGTAGATTGAGTAGATCCTAGTGCCTGCCTTTGGCAAGCCCTCATGACACGATTTGAGTCTCTTGTGCGAATGCCAGGCCGAGAAGTGTCCAGATGGAAGTACCTGCAGTGTTCTGTGCAGCGACACGAGCTGTGTGGCAGGTCCGCGATGGTTTGGATTCGATTCGATAACCATTGGTTGCTTTTGCCGCGGGCAAACCAGACTGTTGAGAATCGCGTGGGTGAGCAGATTGTAAGGCACTCTTCGGCCGTAGTGGTCTCGCCAGGGCCCTTCGCATGCAAGTCTGACTTCATCGGACCTGCTCAGTTGGAAAGCCGTGCGACCCGAAGAACAACGCGTGCTGCAAGGACCCCTTGCAGCGGCAAGTGCGGTGGATTGGTTGGGACTTGCTCAGCTGACACCCAAGTGAGTTTCAGGAGGCTGAAGGCAAGTTTGGTCTTCAGAACTTAGCAGCACATGTTTCTTCCTGCCTGTTTTGAGAACAGCAGAGCGACATGGCTGCAGAATGAAGCCTCTACGCAAGCCCACGTGCAGACACCAGGGGTTCGCACGGCTTCAAGTTCCAGAGGTCGGAACTGCTGCGAAGCCTTCGAACAAATTAATACCCGCGAAACACATGCGAATGCCGCAGCCGCTTTTTTTTTTACGGCACGGGGCTCCTCATTGTGGTTAGTCAAACCATCCTCACTCTCAGCTGCCCTGCTCATTCTGAACCAAGTTTCTGCTTGTTCGTTAGCCCTTCAAACGTACAGCAGGCATAGCGCAGCCATGGGGTGCGCGGCTTCAGTCCAGACAGAACAGGTCGCGAAGAGGACCGCACCCTCTTCAGAGGGTTGCCTGTCATTTTGTAAGCCCCCGCCACACAGGCCCTTTCAGAACGACGCTGACCAGGACCTACAAAATCGTGGATGTCGAGGTGGTAATGCGTGGCGAGGCCACGAGTAGGAAAGTTGTAAAGGTCTGTGTCTTAGGTTTCACCACAGTACATGGTCACTGTTGGATCTTGAAATTTCATGAACACTACTTGATGCCTACTGCTCTTCCGTGAGCATCCTGTTTTCTACAAGAGCTCTAGGGAGCTCAGGTGTGAACTCGAGAGGATCCTGCTTGAGAAGCTTCGCACTACCGTAGCACGGAGAACACGCATCCTTGAAGCTTTCAAGCTCTTGCACAATTCAGTGGTGAGTACAGCTCTACACTTCCCGATCGAGGCTTTGGAAGATACCGGCATCCATCACGAGGCGGGGTGATAGTGGGCCCTTGATGGGGAGTGCATGTTCCCTTTTGCAGCTTGGAGGTCGGAAGCTCCGTCAGCTTGGACACATATGGCACCGCCAAGCAGCACCGGTCCTCGTTCTACGAAAAGGGATCCACGGAGGCTCGCCGACTTGCATTTTTATGGCCGACTACACATGCTCGCCCTGGCAGGAGATCTTTGAGAAGCTTGCGCCAAAAAGACTCGACCACGAGGTGCACCTGCGCAAGATGAAGAAGTTCCTCAAGGACTGGGTCGTGGACACTTTGACCAAGCCTGCGCGTACACGAGACGACTACAGTAGCAAGCCGTGCTGGGTCCGCTCACATTTGAGGACGTGGAGACTTTCCCTTGCAACTTCCAAAACCGTGTGGAAAGTGTGGTGCCCAGCTCTGAAGTCCCCTGCAGAGCCTAGCCTACTCGGCCTAGTCCCACGGTGATCTGATGCAGTTCTGCAATTTGCTGCCCAGGCTCACGTGATGAGTTAGGGCTGCAGACAACCCATTCCGCGGTGGCCACCCGACCACGTCACTGAGTGGACACGTGGAATCTTTGATACCTTGTGGCGTGAAATGGGTCAGTATGAAGATCCTTTTCATGTACCTTGCTCCTCGAACCAGTCCTCAGCAAGCAGCCGGCCAAACTTGGCATGATGCGACGTCGCCAAGCATCTCCTGTGATCGAAGGGTCAATGTCCCATAACACATACCGGATGGCTGGCTTGTTCTTTTTCTAGGGCCGGGGGAAAAGAAGAACTTGCGCATCAGAGGGGTGGCTCTGGCTTGGGTTAGTACTTTGTGTCGCCAAGTTGCCGAGGCGCACCTACTCAATTGAGTCTGCAGTAGTTCGTCAAATCCCAGCCGATCCTGTTCTTGTATGAAAGGCATACTCAAAGTCGGAGTACAAGCGAGTGCCTGTATGGCCTACAGGAAAGTCTTCAGCAATGCTTTACGTGTCGCAGCGCAAAGTTTCAAGCACGGTTGCTATGTCTTGCAGGATTTAAACTGCACCACGCCCATTCATTGAGTCGATACATCGGGGCCTCATGGACGCCTCTTTCGACGGTTGCTAGGTGTGTTCAGGGAAGGAGGTTGCCGATGAGGGATGAATAGGGATGAACGATGGGATGGGGGGGGGTTTCCTTGAGGCCCAACGGCTGTGTCATGCATGCTGTGACTCACTACCTCACCACGCGTTTGAAAAGCGCCTATACTCTTGACAAGCCGACTCGACCTGAGCTTCCTAGAAACACGCAGACTTCTAAATTTTGGCAGTTTGGCCACGAGCAAATCCGAGTGTTTCATGGACAAGCGCAGGGATGCGGTATCAAACTTATAATGCGGGCTGCCTCTTTGCGGCCTGCTAGACATTGCGCAAGCACTTGCTCAACCGGTTCTCCTTTTGAACAGGGATATTGTTAAGGGGTGACTTAACCGGCTGCTGCGCTTTGAGGGTAGTCCCTCTTTGTACAGTGGTTGCGCCACATCAACTACAGTGTACAGCTTTTCAGATTTTCTTATTATAAGTATTATAACTTGTACAGCAGAGTTGTTTGAATCCTGCAAGCCTGCGCCATGTTTGAGCATCTCTGCGGAATGCTCCTTGGCACAGCGGTGGCGTGGTTGTAATACCGCTCCCACCATCTGTTATTATTGAGCTGATGTTGATTCAGCTTCAGACCCGATGTCCCCGTTCTTGCCCATGCGTGAGACCTCCTGGCGTGAAGCCTCGAGGCGCATTGATGCGTGTTGCATGTGAGGGGCTTACCAGCTCGTGACAGCGAAACTGGCTCCATGCGCCACTTCGCTGTGCGAGCAGGCCGACCTGCCTGGATACTGGGAACCGCTTTGTTGCACATGGAGAAGTCGCACTTCTCAAAGCGATCCAGGCATGCGGTCCGTCTGTTGCCGTTCTTCAGTCAGTCTTCAACTTGTTTAGTTCGGCCCAAGCCCAGCTGTCGCCCTGTGCCTCGCAGGGCTCTGGTACGGAGTACCCTGACAGCAGTAGGGCCACACAATCGCCTTTCAGCCTTTGATTTCTGATGATACCTTAATGTTCCCCTCTGTTGGGAGGTGGAACTCCCGATGGTGGGATGGCAGGTGCCGGTAGGAAGCAGTCATGAGTCGACCAAGCAGCATTCAGACCGGGCATCGGTCTGCTGCGGCCACCTTGACACCTGCCAGGCTGCCTGCTGCACCATGAAAGGAAAACCGGTGCATTGTGGGATGTCGTTTTTGGCGATTCAGATTCAGTAGTACCTGAATTCCATGGATTTGACGTAAGTGCGATCTTCCGCCTTTACTTGTATGATTCTGTAAGCGAACACGGGAGCAGTCCGGTTTTGAGAGCACGGCCAAGCGGGGCTGAATTATGTCTCGCACCGAGATCCTTTGCTCCTGAGGACCCTGTCGGTGTTCCGATGCAGTGTGTCTCCATGGGGGCCGGCCCTGCTTGTGCCCCAGATTGCGAACACCTTCCCAAAGCAAGCCGTTGAGCAGTGGACCCGGTTCGATGTTGGTCACAGTAACTTCTGATCGTGGCATTCAGACAGACAGCTCAGACAGGAAACCGCAGTTGCTCCTCTTCACCTGCAACAGGTCTGCATCTCGGGTGAGGTGCTCCATGGCATCGTCGTCTGATTGGGACGGTGACACATCGTCGTCTGCTTGGGACGGCTTGTGAGATGCTCGCTCCATGGCATCGTCGTCTGATTGGGACGGTGACACATCGTCGTCTGCTTGGGACGGCTTGTGAGATGCTCGCAAGAACACGAGTGGGGCAGGGTGCGGTAATTGCCAGTAGCCCGAGTTGCTGTTCACGGCGTGGAGTGTGACAAGCTCTAACTGAGTTGAGTAGAGCAAGGTTTGCAAGTCCTGATGGTGGTGTCAGTAGGTGCTTGGTAGTAGTTGGTGCAGTGATAGTGGTAGTGGCAGTGGCAGTGGCAGTAGCAGTGGCAGTGGTAGTGGTGGTTGTGGTCGTCATCGCGATAGTAATAGTAATAGTAGCAGCAGCAGCAGGAGTAGTAGTAGAGCAGTGGTGGTAGTGGTGGTGGTAGTAGTAGTAGTAGTGGTGGAGGAGGAGGAGGAGTTGGAGTTGGAGTTGGAGTTGGAGTTGGAGCTGGAGTTGCAGAAGCCGTAGCAGTAGCTGTAGCAGCTGCAGTAGCAGTAGCAGTCGTCGTCGTGGTACTACTGCTGCTGCTGCTGCTGCTACTACTACTACTACTACTACTACTAGCACTGCCACTACCACTACCACTACCACTACAACCACTGCTACCGCTACGAGTTCTACAAATCTTTTGCCCTGCGTAGTCTTGGGTTATTGCTTTTCAGTTTCACTCATCACGGCCGGCTTGCAGCATTTGACAAGATTTGCCACCTAATTCGCCGTCCTTCCTGATGCCATGAGTCTCCAAGGACGGCTTTGCTGGTGTCTCTCCTTTGTCTCGCTTTTTCTCATTCCGGATGTGAGGGGTGATTGTTTGGTTTTGAACATGTAGGGCAGGCAGGGGTAGGACTTATGGGACAGGCAATCCTGTTAGAGTGCTCGGGCTTGCGATGAAGAGTTGGGACAGGAATTAGCCTCGTCCCTTTCGCGAAAGTCACGCGATACCCCTTGCGAGGATTGGAGCACTTTCTTCCCAGTGCTTAGCAAGAAGGCAGGTTGCTCTGTCACTGTCATCATCAAGGTCAACAGGAGCATCATCATCACCTTCATCGTCCTCCATGGGCATTTTCCGACAATCATCAACACCACCCTCGTCGTCAAAATAATCCCTGTCATCCAGGTCATCCTTGCTGTCCTCGATTTTGTCACCGTCGCGTGGCTACACGTGTGGCTCAAGTTGTGGCTGCAAACTTGTAGCCCAAGCGGAACTGTTCTGTAGCGGTGCTGTAAAGCATAGCTGTGGAGCAGATGGCGGAGCAGGAGGGCATGGCCTTTCGTCCGTTTGCGTGGCATTCCGAATTGTTGTTGGCTCTGATGGTGCATGAGTCTTTTTGGTCTGCGCATGGTAGGGAAGGCAGGGAGGGTCGGCAAGACGTTGTGGGCTTGATCGATTGCATGGCCTCAGCATGCAGCATCTGGTAAGCGTGCAGGACAGAACAGCACAAACCGTTCAAGAGCTCACCGAAATCATGCAGGACTTTCCGAGTGCAGTCCTTGTGCCTTGCCAGTGCGTCCTGTCAGTCCTGTAGGAGCTCGCGAAGCGCGTTGAGGAGCAGGATGCCAGGTGCAGTCCTTGCGTGAAGCCTCCGTCAGCGTCTAGGACTAGGAAGTCTAGCGAAGTCTTTTCTTCACCGCTGTCGACAGGTTCAAGTCTCAGCAGATGGAGCAAAAGATGGAAACTGCCGCTCTCAAGCGACGCATGGAGGCACCGGTCTGGCGGAAGAGTTTCGGTTGCTGTTGACAAGCTTGAACTCATCGAGTCGCATGACATCCTGCTGCTAATGATCCCTCTGCTGGTGCTGCTGCTCCTGATGCTCGCATTGCTGCAGGGTTTACAATGCTAAGCTGCTACTGTTGCCGATGCCGCCGCCGATGGTGGCGTTGATGCCGATGACTCAGCTGGCGAAAGACACAACAACGACTGGTGCGAGGCCGGAGAGGATGAAGGCGAAGCTGATCGCGGCTTCCACCATAAGAGCGAGGATGATTTTACGATTGGAATGTTGATGATCTTTCTGCTTGCGGAGATGATGATCAGGATATTGATGCTGCTGCTGATGCTGAAGCTGATGCTGATATTGATGGTGGCGGTGCCTGTTTGCTGCTGGCGGTGGCACGAATAAGACGGTGCTGATTATGATGCATGAGGCCATAAAGCCTGAAATCACGATGGTGTTGATGAGATGCTGCTGCCTGAACGGCCAGAAGCATATGATGATGCTGAAGTAATGCTTGCTGATCCTGTTTTAATCAATGTTGTGATGGGGATGGGGATGGGAAAGCGACAGCGGAGATCGTGGTTGTTGTGGTGATGGTTAGTCGAGGTTATGGTGCGGTTGTGGTGGTTGTTGTTGTTGTTGTTGTCGTTGTCGTTGTCGTCGTCGTCGTTGTCGTTGTCGTTGTCGTTGTTGTGGTCGTGGTCGTGGTCGTCGTCGTCGGCAAGCGCGCGGGACCATTGTTTGTACTTTGATCATGTTGATGCTGATGCTGATGCTTGTACTGTGACGGCGATGGTCTTATTGTAGGCGCATCTGAGGATGACGATCGCTATGATGGCGGTGGTTGATGATGATGATAATGCTGACGACGACGATGGTGGTGGTGGTGGTGGCGGCGGTGCTGCTGCCGGTGTGGTGTTGACAGTCGTGAGGACCTCCAGCAGAGCAGTTTGAAGGAGGTGAAGACAGTTCGCCAGGAGCTGTTGGACTTGAAACATCGGCTTTCTTTGTTTTAGTTATCCATCAGTTTCTCCCAGGAGTACGATCTGGCTTTGGACAGCCTCGGCTCTCTCATTGAAGATGTTGCTCGACGGATGACGCGTGCGGTGCAACGCTTTGAGGAGCTCCAGACGTCAAGCCGCAGGGTCTTTCGATATGCACCGCTACGCCGCTACAAAGCAGAGTAAAGCAGGAGCGTGGCATTGCAGACTTGGAACGCACCCGTGAGAGCCCTAGATGCCAAAGGTATCCAAACTTTTCCGAAATTGCAACTTTGAGCGCCTTTGCGGTTCTGAGGAGATCAGGTTGAAAAGTCGTTGGCGACACACTCCACCATCCTTACACAGAAAATTGCATCTCGGCGCTTCAGACATGCTCTCGTCCGTCGGTGGGGAGATGCCGGGCTCTTCCTACCTCCACGAACCCTGCTGGAGGATGCTGCCCTGGCTGCTGCGGTTGATCGTTCCAGCCAGGCCAGAAAATAGATCCACTAGGCAACGCTGATTTTGCAAGAAATCTTCGTTGCTTTGAAGGCAAGTGATCACGCCGATCGCGAATCCCGCGAAGGCAAGTGTCAACTGTTCGTGCTGCAGAGTGAGTATGACAGTGTACCAACGAAAGAAGGGCATATCGATCGTGATCTGTATTTAGGAGACGAAGATCATGGCGGCGGTACTGGAAGTGCATCGGCTAAGAAACCGCACCAGCAGATCGAAACGATGCGTTCCTTGGCTGTGGTCTCTGGCGTCGTCCTGGTTTGGTCTTTGAAAGCTTCTGGGGTCGAGGACGTGTGGAGACGATCGCACAGATGTTGCGGAACGAGGCCGTGGCAAACGCAGAAGGTGCATTCGTTGCCTAGCAAAAGCTTTGGACGGAGCCAGGCGCTGGCTCAGACCCAAGCCTTCGAAGCCAAGCTGTCCTCCATTGAAGCCGCGCATTCCGCGGAGGCGAAAAGGCGCGCCGGACAGTTTCATCTGAGGGCAAACCGAGGGCAAAGGCAATAACTGGCATAGACAACAGTGGTCCCTGCCTGCGCGTGCAGGTGGCAGGGCATGCTGTCCTCCTCCTTCACTCAGCTCCAGGAGCCCTGGGCTGCGCCGGGTTTACGGGAAGCGCTCCATCGCTGTAGATCTGCCTTTGCGCTGCAAGTGGCGAGGGTTTGCAGCGTTCCATCTCCCAGCTCGAGTGCGGACTCACGCCTTCGGGCCCTCAGGCAGAATGAATCCATTTCTGTGTTAGTCCGTTTTTTGTTGTAGAGACCGAAGCATTGCAGTGCGGTAGGGTGGATCAATCTCGATGCCACTGGCACCACACGCCAAGCACCTCGGCTTCGAATTGCTTGCATTCCGCATGGAGAACAGCACAACGTCGAAGCTCCTGTTCCCACGAGTCACATGTTTGAAGGATTGAGAAAGAGATCACCAGTGCAGAGAAGCTGCGGAAGGAGCGGAGCACGCGGCGAGCTGGAGCAATTTGGAGCCCCCAACATTGAAAAAGGATCTGTCCCGCAAGCTGCGTGGCATCGCTTCCTCCGTGAACGGGGCCCTGGTGTCACTTGAGTCGCAGGCAGAAACTCGAGGCAAGTTGGAGCGCGCCTGTTGCGAGCGAGAGAGCTGTGAGACGCCGCAAGCCAGGTCAGTCCCCGCAGCGAGCACGCAGCCCGGTGGTTCTTCCACTGAACCCTGCTGGTACGATGGAAAAGCAGATGAGGCCGAAGTCAGAGTCAAAATCCCCGACTCGGCTGCGACGGTCAGAGAAAGCGTTCTCCTCAAGCCCCTAATTGCCACTGGCAGGCAGAGGACAGAGAAGGACCAGGTGCCGCCTTCGTCAAACTGCGGAATGGTTTGAACGTAGCCTAGAATCTAGAAATGCCATCGCCGATCAAAGCACAGGTGCGATCGCCTCCAGTGGGCATTCCAATGACAGGTCCTCTTGAGATGCGTGAGGACGGTGTTGCAATTCAGTCCAAAAGTAGAATGTCTCCGTCTTCAGAAGCAGCATGTGCAGTGAGGCACCCTTCTCTCCACGTATTCTAGTGCCTTCGGTCGAACCCTAGTTAGCCCTAGTTAGTTGGACGGTAGCTGCGCCGGGATATCGGAGAGGCGAGTACGGGAGGGCAACCGGAAACCGCCACCACGGTGTCAGCGGCTCCGAACCTGCATTCCTTGCAGATCGCCATGGCCTTTGCCAACATGTTGAGCTATGTATATTCTATTGCATGCATGTGGTTTCCTACAATGGATCTTCCATTTTCC